TCGTTAGTTACTTAGTATTTATAAGGAAGTTTACAGCTTTTAGAACACTCCTTTATAATGTTTCCTTATTCTCACCCCTTCGAATTTTAATTTCTGTCTGTGCAGCTGTTGCCCATCACTAGCCCAGGAGTCTCTCGAGTGCTGTGACCATGTCTCATTTATCTTGATAATCTCAATGTGTAATGTGATTCCTAGAACGCAGAAGGTGCTGGTAGATGACTACAGAATACATTTTTATTCTGTACAATAACTTTATGAATATTTAGCTCGTGAGTCTGTGGGCATAGCTGGGTGGTTCCCATGGTCATGACAGAGCTCAGCCTATGCCTGGGGCAGGGTGACGGGCAGTTGGCTGAGGTGAGGGGCCTGCATGTGCCGGGGGTGTGCAAAAGAGAGGGCAAGCCCAGTCCTGTGCGTGCTTTTCCTGCTTGCTGATACGTTAGATGGGCTTCTACAGAGAAACAGAACCAATGGCACCTATGAGTGTGTGTGTGTGTGTGTGTGTGTGTGTGTGTGTGTGTGTGTTTTAAGAGGGAGGCTTATTATATGGAATTGGCTTATACTGCAATGGCGGCTCGAAAGCCCAGATCCAGGAGAGCCCATGGTGTGAATGTGAGTGTGACAGAGAACTGATGTCCCGGCTCAGACATAGTCAGGCAGAAAGAGAGAATCCTGTCTTTCTCAGCCTTTTGTGCCATTCAGGCCTTCCACTGATCGAATGAGGCTCCCCCACATGTTGAAGCATTGGGGTGGGTGACCTCCACCGACTCAGATGTTAATGTAATCCAAAACACCTTCACAGACACACCAGAATACTGTTTAACCAAATATCTTTTTATGTGTCCAGTTATCCCATAAAATTATCCATCTCAGCTTACAGTCTACTCAGACAAAGCCAGTCCCATGGCCAAGCCCAGCACCAGGCGAGCAGATGATGGAAAGCTAGGTGGCTGTCTTAGTCCCTTCAGGCTGCTGTGACAGAGCCCCGTGGACTGGGCAGGGCTTCCCCAGCACACTCATTTCTCACAGTCCTGGAGGCTGATACAGGCACCGATCCCACCAGCCCCATGAGGCCCTGAGACCGTCAGACTGGGGGGTAGGTTTTCTCTCCCGCTTTCGCCCGCTTTGTGAGACAGCAGGTCTGCGCTTCAGACGCTCACTCGTAGAGCACCAGACCTCGTCTGCCTCCTGCTGGCCTTGTGCTTTGCGGGCCAGTTGTTTTGTTTGGAAAACGTTTTTATTTATTTTTATTGTTACACCTACTTTATTTTTATTTATTTTAATTGGGGAATTGGGGGAGAGGAACAGTGTTGGGGAGTCGGGGGAGGGGACCAGCCAAGTTGTTCTTCAATCTTCGTTGTGGAGGGTGCCAGTTGCCCTCTGGCTACCCGTCAGCAGCTCGTGGCCTCCAAGCTCAAGGTGCCAAGTTCAGTCTTAGTTGCTGGTGGGCGTAGCCACCACTGAACAAGCAGTCTTGTTGTTAGGAGCACGTGCTCTCACCAGCTGAGCCATCCTGCCACCTGTTGGCAGCTCAGTGGCAGCTCAGCTTGGATGCAGCATCACTGGCCAATGTGGGAATTGAACTGGCAGCCCTGTTGCTCAGAGCTCGTGCTTTTAAGCTAACTCTTAACCAACTGAGCCACTCGGCTGGCTCTGGAAAATGTTATTAAATAACAGCGTCTTAAGGAATCTTGCCTTCTAAAATGTTCTGCTTGTTAGGATCAAAACCTCTAATGGAAGCAGCTACTCACTGTCCGTCAGACACGCTTTTCCTCTTGCCTACCTGCCTCTGCCCTGTACCGGAGATGCCACGCTTCTCCCCCACCCCTCCTCCTCTCCAGGACGTGGCTGCCCCTGTCCCAGGAGGCCACTTCCCCAACTCAGCCCTTGGAAAGCAAACAAATAAATAAAACTTCATTGATCAACTTTGGAGGATAAGAAGATGCCAGTTTGTTATTGGGTTGTCGGGAAAGTTGTGACACATTTTTGCATTGAAAAACATAGGAAAATATGTCATGACTTTCCCGATGACCCAATATTTTGAAAACGTAAATAAATGGGGGAAAGTTAAGCATTTATCCTTTGTTTTCTGTATGAACTGTACCTCAGGGAATCAAATAATTGCTGAGGGGGAGTTTGTCTTTCTAGAAACTGATAAATGAAGAGGGAATGATGAAATCATAATGTGACCCTTTAGCAAACTAATGAAGTAATAGATCATCCAAGGTTCTTAATATCACACAAAGAGGAGCAAGTAGTCATTATCTGTTTCCTAATGGAATTCACGACAATGCTTATAGTTTTCTCACACACACACACACACACACACACACACACACACACACACACACGATTTTGAACCTGAGTCTACAGACTAAAATTTATAGGAAATGTAGAGGACAGAGGAACATGTTAAATGACACTAAAGGGATGGATGCAGTCACCATCATCCACAGTGTGGGAAGCTTTTCTGGGACAAATGACCCAATTTTCCCAGTAAATTGCATGGAGAAAATGTGATAGAGGGTAAACCTACAGACTAGATGAGACTTAAGAGTCACGCTAAGCAGCTGTAATGTGTGCAAATTGTTTAGCTCCTGATTCAGCAAACCTTTAAAAACTTACAGGACAAATGGGGAAATGTGAACAAAGCCTCGTCAATTTCCCTTCTAAAAAGCAAAGTTGAAGTTTTTTGTTTATCATTTGTATTTCTATTTTTGCACATTATTCATATTGGCCATATTATTGGGTTGTCGGAAAAGTCATGACGCGACAGCCCAATATATTAGTGTAGAAGTTTATGCTTCTTATTTATAAATACAGATTTGTCAGTTTTCATTTGTCTTCACTACTAAGACAAATTTTGGAGTTTCGTGTGTTTCGGTTTTGCCTGCCCAGCCAGCCTGGACAGCACAGAGCTTCCTGTTATAGCCCCAGAAAGCTGGTTCTGTGTGTAGTGTAGCAAATGCTGTCGTGGGAGTACAGCGTGGTGAAACACCTTCTGTAAGGGGTGTTGCTCACGTGGTCCTCGGTCTGTGGGGCCCTCAATCCTGGCTTCATTGTCAGTTGAGGCTGGGTCATCACATGTCCCGTCTGACTACTAGGAAGAGCCTGTTAGCTTGAGGCTTTATAAGGAGAATAAAGGTGATTGAGACTGACTAAATCTGTGTTATGGAATGGAGCACCTTATCAAGCCTACGTTACAATTAGCACACAGTCCCAAGCACTGCAGAGGAGAGTTCTGATTGTAAGGGTTAGACCCTCCTTACACAGGTAGACTAAGGTAGAGTGACGTTAGGTAGGTGTGGTTTACACACAGTCCATGGGCGTTCTCCCTGCTGCTGTCCCCTACCCTTTCTCTAGGGCTCGGCCCCACACACATCCGGAGTGGAAACAGTAGAGATAGTAGAGAGCTGCCCATCTCTCTTATTTCCTGCTGCTCTAAGTTCAGACTTGCCCAAGATTTCCTCAAGTTTCTTTACCTTGAGCTCTCACTTTTCTTATTTACACAGATCTTAAAGGAGCTTCCCCACTTTGCAAATTTCCCATCGTTCTCTGCTAGTCCTCACCCTCGGAGCACATGTTCCTTTTGCAGGACAGACAATTGTACCCTTTGTCTCTGAGTTCATCTGCCTCTGAGAGCCGAACTTCAGGAGGGAGCCAGGTTTTTGTTTATTGTTTAAAGATTTTATTGGGGTATTGGGGGAGGGAAACAGACACGTTGCTGTCCTTTTTGTTCTTCAGTCTAGTTGTGGAGGACGTTGCTTCACTGGCCCAAGTTGGCACCATCATTGCGCTTCTCCTGGGTGAGGCAGATCAGTCGCCGGTCTCTGGCTGCTCATGCTGGCTGCCGGCTACACACAGTAGCCCATGGCAACCCACTGCAGCAGGGACTGCAGCCTACGTCGTTGCCGGCGACTCAGAGCAGCCCAGCTCCAGGTTGAGCTGCCGTTCACCATCTTAGCTGCAGAGGGCAGTGTCACTGGCCCTCATATGTGGGATCCGAACCAGGGTCCTCTGGTGTCCCAAGCCAGTTCTTAACCAACGCGCCACTCGGCCGGTCCAGGAGCAGGTTTTATCTTGTTGATGTTGTAGGAAAAGCAGCTTGCAGTGGAAGCAACTTACAAAAGGGGGCGCGTTGAGTAGTCCCTAGTAACTTGTGCAGACACACCCTGGACCCGGGTCTGCCTCTTCGTCTGTGTGCTTTCTGCCACGTTGTTACTGTCTCCCTGCAGCCTTCCGATGAGACCAGAGCACTGGTTTATAGAAAAGTATATCCTATGTATCTAGTCCAGTTTCAAGAGGAAATCTTACACTCAGCCATCCAATGCTTTGGAATGTGCTCAGAGTCAACAAACTGTGCAATTTAAATTTATAAAATTATAAATAAGAGCCTGCGCTACTTGCTAGGCACTATTTTAAGTGTTTTCTGTGAATTTTCTGTGTTAGTTCTGAGGACAGGGGCTGAGTAAGTTACCGAGGTGACGAGGCTAGCGAGTTGGAGCTGGGCTCTCTGACCCCTTCCTCACTGAGACACCATCCAGAAGAGGGGAGGGAAGCCTGGGTGGGTGGCCAGGCAGAGTTCCCAAACGGAAGTGGGAGAAAGAAATTCTTGGGAAAGTACTTGAGATTTTGGAGACAGACCTTACTTTTGAGATTCCTAAAACTGATGTATAAAATTACCCTGGTTTCCTTAGGCACGTGTAGTGGAAAGAGCTGTGGGTTAGGAATCAGAAAGTTTGGGGTCCAGCCTGGCTCTTCTGCCTTCTCTGTATGACACAGAAAAGCCACCTTGTCACTCTGAACCTGTTTCTTCATCTGTCCAAAAGAGAGAAATGGTGCCTATTGAGAGATGAGAGGGTAACCAGAGGGTAATCGCAGAATTGGTTCAGCATCACTGTGAAGAAAAGTACTAAGGACTTCCATTTCTAGGTCAGCTTAGGAGGGCTTCGGTTTGGCATCCGAGTGTTATAAACTACTAATGATTTGTCTGTTTTCAGGGTACCATACCTGTATGCCTTGTAGACCTCGTGCTTGGAAAGGCTGACGGATGGCTTTAAGACAGCTGAGCCCCGGTAGACACCAGAAAACCCATGGCTCTGTCTGCGTCTTTCACCATGAGCGACCCCCAGTAAGTGGCATTGGGATGCGCCCCTTCTGTCCTCACTGCCCTGAGGCCGCTGGGGTCTCCCCAGGTCTGGTCGGCTCCCAGCCATCAGTACATCCAGCTGTGAACAGAAACCTGTTGTCTGTTGTGGTATAGAGAGTAGAAACATCCCAAAGAACTGTCACAAAAAAACACAGGAGACAATTTACAGGAATAGCTACTCCAGTGTGAAGCCCAGTGACCCAGAATCCTGAGCCTAAGCCCAGTTCTGCTGGTTGGCTGAGTTTCCATGTGGGTCTTTACCTTCCGCTGATGAAGTCCCTGCCCCAGAGCTTGTATTTTCAGACCTAAGCAGCTTCTCTTCCCGTTTCCCACTTTTCCTAACCGGGGAAGGAGGTGGACGTCAGGGCTTCTATCCGGTCCCTGGGGTGGCCAGAGGGGAAAACAGCAGCCTCCAGCTTCCCGGCAGCACAGCCGATCTGGCGCGTGTTCTTTCCTTTCCTGGGGGAAGGGAGACAGTGCTTTGCCCACGAGGGCTGACTGCCCTGTTGCCTCCTCCCCACTCAGGCCAGCCACGGGAGGAATCTCTGAAGTTGAGGCCATCTCCCAACAAGTAGAGGAGGAAACCAAGAGCATTGCTCCCGGGCAGCTCGTGAACTTGGCCTATCGGGACTTGCCCCTGGCCGCGGTTGACCTCTCCACGGCGGGCTCACAGCTCCTGTCAAACCTGGACGAAGATTACCAAAGAGAAGGGTAGGTGCTGGCATGGGAGTCTCTCTCACAACCGCCTGGGTTTCTGTGGGCCCCTCTGCGAGGCACGGAGGTTAGAGATGCTGGGTAAGAAGACGCCACACATTCACATGCGGCCTCCCAGGCCCCTTCCTCCTCAGAAAACGGCTTTGGGCACAGAAATTACCTGTCACTGCTAGACAGCCTCTTATGTGGCATTTGCTTAGAACTCAGAGAGTCATAAAATTTGTTTAATGATTGACGTGCTCCCTATGGCCTATCCAGCCCCTCTCTGCACACTGGGAATCAGGAGACCCACAGAGGTCAAGGACCACCCAAGGTCACAGAGCCCATAAGGGATGGGCGTGGACTGCACTGCTGTCTGTCAGCCGACTCTCCAGGGAAGAGGCATGCGGTGAGGTGTGCAAGTCTGTGAGGGGCATCAGCAGCACTGGGCTGGGAGCTTTGCAGACGTCCAGTGCCCCCTTTCTAGCAAGGACCAGTGGGCGTGCTGGTCCCTGATTCAAAGGCGTGCCTTTACCTGCTACTTAGCTTGTCGGTTAGATTGGACGCCTCTGTTCCCCAGCCTTCTCATTAGCCTGGTGTGTCTTACAGACCTTTCTGAAGGTGAAGATAGAGTGTCAGAGCTGGATGGCAGGTTAGATGCCCTGCTGGACACCCTCCTTTTATATGGGGGGAGCTGAAAACCAGACAAGGGCAGGAGCAGTCCTAGGCCACACAGCAGGTCAGCCGTCCCCACCCTGTCGCTCTTAGATATAGACATTTAATCATCGGCCAGGAGCTTTGGAACCCCTTGGGGGCCATTCTCCTTTCTCAGGTGACTGCAAATATTTTGGAACATGATGGCTGCTGTTGAATATGAAAACGGTGGGTTGCCGGGTTATTGTGAAGCCAACAAGAAGCCTTGGCTTGAGTGAAATTTTCAGAGCTTGGATCCCCATGGTTGTTTCCCAAAAGGGGCTCCCTCTTTCCTGAGAGAAATTGCGTGACAATTGTGAAATCTACATCTTTTGCAAAAACTTCACCCCAGTGGCCTTCTCTGAAAATATCATTTTCTCCAAGTGTTGCGCGCAGAGTCAGCAGGACATTGGGAAGAAAGGACAGGCAAGCTGGGGGCGGGTGGCTAAGGGGCGCCTGGCTGTAGTGGGCCGCCCGGAGCACTGTCAGCCCTGAGGTCTCCATAGGTGTGAAGCAGGGCTGGGTCCTGAGCCAGGCCAGCCGTGCACGTGCATGCAGGTGCGCGGCCCTACTCTTGGCTGGATGCTCTGCTGCGGCTGCCTTGAAATTCTGGGTGGTTTCTGAACAAGGAGCCGCCTTTTCCCTGGGCTCCCCAAATTCTGTAGCGGTCTGGTCCTTCCCTGAGTACTGATTCACTGTGTCGCTGCACTCTGGTGGCCAAATGCGGTACTGCAGCCTGGTGACGTCCCCAGCGTGAACTCCTTTCTGGGAGGCCTGATCCAGTGGGGCCGTCCTCAGGTTTCCAGTCGGAGGCGAAGGCGGGGAGGAAAAGCGGGAAAGCCACCGTGGGTGTTGTTTGGGGCAAGACCCACATCTGCACCTGTGGGCATAAGGCACCGCGGTGTCACCTCAGCCGGAGCCGGAGGCCCCGCCCCATCATTGCCTGTGCTTCTGAATTGGGCGTCTCCCAGGATTCTCTCATTCGGGAGAACACGAGGTGCTGCGAGGCAGAGAGGCTCCCGGTCTGGTGTGAGCGTCCAGGGGGCTCTGGAGAGCAGCTCCTGCGGGGTAACAGGAAGGGCTTTGTGGCCCGAGCTCTCTGCAGGCTCACTTGGCAGCCGGAGGCTTCCTGGAGGAAGGAAGAACAAGCCTGGGATGGAAGCCAGGGGAGAAGGAAGCAAAACAAGCACACTGTGAGCGGGGAAAAGCCTCTCCTCACAAGGCTTCTTGGCTCTTGCGACATTTCCTGGGGTTCCCCCCAAATTTCCCACCTGGCCCTTTCCGAGGCCATGCAGGACGACAGCATTTACAGTTCCCGTAGGTCTCTGAAAAGCTTGGTGTGAGCTGTGTTGAAGCCACCTCTCACTGCTATAGAAAGTACTTCTTACAGGGCATGAATCTTTTCTGCAGTAAATGTAGAGCCCTAGGGACCTGGCCGCCCACCATTCATTTCTGTTGCAATACAGATATTTCAGTGTTTTCTAGTTTTACAGAATCTGAGAGCATTAGGGCTGGCAAAGACCTTAGAACACAGCGTCTATGCTCAACATTCTAATAGGACAGCAGAGTCCAGAGGGAGGAAGGAACTTGCACAAGGCCACACGGTGACAGTGACCAGCGAAGCCCCATCTGCTGGCTCCTGATGCAGGCCAGCACTGCTGGCTTCTACTTGTCACCTGTCCTTTTCCAACATCACACACATGGCACATGTGATGCCACTACTAGGCCACACTGTCCAATGCCTTTTGCTGTCAAGTCCATTTCCGCCTTTGTCCATGAGCCTGTGAAGAAGGGCCAGTCGCTGTGACGCAGGGGACCCAGGCGCGATGAGGAGCCCACCTTGGTTAAGCCCCTTGCCGTTCCCTTGTCCTTCGGATGGACCCACCTAGCGGACCGCTGTCAGGCTGCTGGGGGCTCCGGGATGAAAAGCAGACAGCCAGGCGGCTCGGTGGCGGTCTGAGTTCGGTGGCCATGATAAAAGACCAGAGATGGGGTGGGTGGCTTAAAGAAAAGATGCTGTATTTGTTTTTTCGCAGTTCTGGGGCTAAGAGGTCAAGGGCAAGGTGCTAACAGGGCCGGTGTCTGGTGACAGCTCTGTCCTTGGGCTGCACGCGGCTGGCTGTTTCCTGGCTATGTCCTCACATGGCCTTTCCTTGTGAGTTGGTCTCTTCCTTTTCTTATGGTGCACCGATCCCATCATGGGGGCCCCACCCTGGCTTCAACATACGGACTGGGTGGGGGGAGGGCGCGGTCCTTCAGTCCGTGTGGCCACCTCCCAGCCTCAGGCCTCCATGTCACCTTGCTGCTCAGCTGTGCCTCACAGTCCTCTGGTCTTGGTCGGTGTTCACCCCTGATGCCCAGGGACTGTTCCAGGTCATGTCTGCTGCCCTAAAGCCCCTGTTGCCCTCAATAGATGTCCTCCTTCCTGAGAAAGGACAGTCATGGATGGACAGCACCCACCCCTCTCTCCCCCGCTCCTCTCCCCACCCACCTTCTCATGAGCTTGGCTCGGCAGGTACCTGTCTCCTAACCCACCACATCTCTCATATCCTTTCCGGACTGTGCGTCCTCATCCCTACTGACTGTCACCATCTGCTCTTCGTCCTCATGAAAGCCTCATCTACACCTGCTGTGTCCCTGTGCCCCTCCCACCATTCCCCAGTCCCCACCTGCTGTGTCCCTGTGCCCCTCCCACCATTCCCCTGTCCCCACCTGCTGTGCCCCTCCCACCATTCCCCTGTCCCCACCTGCTGTGTCCCTGTGTCCCTCCCACCATTCCCCAGTCTGCCACAGCCTAGCTTCAGCGTCATGCTCACTGTGGGAGCAGCTCTCCTCCAGGTCATCGAAGGCCTCATGTTGCTCGGATCCTCCTCCTGTTCTCTGTCCAGCATTCGAAACTGTCAGCCACCCGCCCTCTGGGTCTGCTGCTACACCACGCTCTCCTGATCCTTTTCCTATAACCCCCCCCCCTACCACCATCTATTCCTTCCAGGCCTTTCTGCCTGGTCCTTAAATGTTGGGGTTCTTCATTTTCTGTCTTTGCCATTTTTGCTCTACACACTGGGTAATTTTATCCATCCCCAAAACAAATTTAATATCCTTCATCTTGTAACTTTCAAAGCTATGTCTGTGTCCCAGATCCATCCATATCTATGTGTCTCCCTCCCTCCCTCTCTTCCTCCCTCCCTCTCTCACCTTGCCCCCTCTCCAAACCCCTGGCTCATATCCAGCCACTTCCTAGATATCTTCACAGGGTCCCACACATGCCTAACAAGAATCTGTTCTATTCTGGAATCATCAATTCTTCTGCTTCTGAGTTGGCTGCATATTTTAGAGGAAAAATATTCTGGTTTCTACTCAAGTCATTGTTTATCACAGCCTTTTCACTGACAATAGTCAAAGCCAGCTTGAGGGGCCACGACGTGCCCCTCTGGGACTTGTGGCCATCTCAGACCCAGCAGCCCCCCAAATAAATTGTCTTTTCCCAAAATGTAGTTTCTGTGGCCCCGACCTGTGGGACCCAGACGTAGCTGCCTGGCCACCCCAACCCATTACTGCCAAAATGAGTGGCATGTGCACTGAGGGTCATTTACAATGACCCCAAGCCTCCTTCCTGCCTCTGCAGGAACCAGTGTTTTCCAAGACACCAAAGCGCCGTGAAGCTAGTCGGGGGTGGTCACCCCTGGAAGTTGTGTCCTTCCTCTTCCCCTGCTCTGGCTTCCTCTTGTCCACGTCTGCTGGGCTCCGTTGTGGGACTGCTAGTGCCAAGTTCAGGGGCTTCAGAAACCACAAGGTGTCCACGCAGGGTGGGGAAGAGCACTGTCCCTGAACCCCAGACTCTGGACCACACTGTCAACGAGCCCAGAAGTGGCTCTGCTTGTGGCCACCGCTCTGGTCCTTCCTGTGTGCTTCTGGCCTTCACGTCTCTGCAGCCAGGTCTCCATTTCAGTCCCAGAGGCTGTCATCCTTTCTCTCCCTGCCCCCTCCTCCCCTCCTTCATTAGTGATAAGACACGATGTGAACACACACCCGGGGAGGAGAGGGGAGATGGGGAGCAGAGGAGGTGTCTGAGGGAGCTGAGATGGCCACGACGCCTGCTTCACCCTAAGAGATCAGCTTAGCCCTTCCCCTCCTCCCTCATGTTCTGTCATCTCGTCTTAGACCTCACTTACCGTCCTCACCAAGGACCGGCGACTCCCATCGGCCAGGGCCTTCGGACTGCATGTAACAGAAAGCCCATCTCACACTCAAACAGCGAGGACTGTCACTGGCCCATGTGCCATGGAGCCGGGGCAGCTGTCAGGCTGGTCCAGAGTCTCAGCACG